ACCCTATTAAACCCGGTATCGTTAAATTCGTCATGATAATCTAAAACCGAAAGTTGGGTTCGTTTCCGGTGAGACTGGAAGTGATAAAACAAAAATTGTTTCATCAACTAATGAGCAATTTGGTATACTTGCTACCCAACAATTTTAAGAACCCTATCTAGAATAATTCAAAAGTTACAAATCTGGTCGTTTTTTGTGCACTTCTCTGTATAATTCCCTTGGGAGTGTTATGACATAATGGATTCTATAATTCCTTCTACCTAAGATCTTCTACCTCTCACAAGTGAAAATAAAATAAGAAATGCAAATATAGCGGGAAGGTGATTGGTACATTTATTCCGTTTTAAAAATTAACAAAATTTTATTGAGATCGGTCCGAAATAAAACTATCTATGTATGTACCTTGTGAATAAATGAGCCCTATCCTCAGGCAAACGCAAACTTTGCCATCGGCCCTTTTACATAAATAACTATTATTTATTGTTAGACACTAGAGAACTGCAGGCAAACAATAATAACCGTCATTTGTACATTTCATGTTCTGAATAGTAATATTCAGAATCTATCAATAATTATAACTGTACATTCTCATTAAAACTATTGATTAGTATACTAATACAATAGAATGAAAAACTCACAAAACATAATTACGATTATGTGACGCAAATTCTAATAACGTTTGACGAATTTGGCTTGATATGCAAGTACAGACTATACTTAGATCTCTACAGCTGCATACAAGGCTGCATAGATAGAAATCAATAATCATACATCACCTATAATCTATACTGTATTAAAATTCGATGAGGTTCAGGCTATACATTATACATTATTAGCTCTCTTCCATGCGCTTCAAAAGATGAGAAAAAAAAGGTCCGTCAAATAAATTCCTGGGAACATCTTGCAAAGTTCTATATCGAATTTCTTTAATAAATTAACTTATCAAAGATGTTGCTGCAGAAATTTACCAAGCGATTAACTTTTTTTTGATTAGTTGGTTGGTTGGAGATATTCCACCTCGTATTCCACCGTTTCCAGATTTTTCTGACACTCTGATATGTACACATGAGTACTGATGACTCGACTGATGATAACGAAACGAGACAAGAGTCGATACGATATAATGTTTATAGTGTATGATGAATTGATATCCATCGTACAGGTCGTGGAAGGAAATTCTGAATTGAGAAAATATTCTGTGATTATATAGAGGTCTTTAAAAACAAATTGCCATCATTAAAGTTTGAACCCCTTGATTGGGTATGAAAGTATTGAAAAGAAATATTCTCAGATATATTATGAAAATGAAAAAAAATTGATAGGTACAGGTTAATAAATACATTAAGAATTCGCATTCTCTATCTGATGAAAATATGAATTCTTTCTCGGTATATTCAACAGAAAACAGCTACTTTCCTGGCTATATTATGCCACGACGAACATAGAATTACATCTATTGGACACACACAATAAGAATTTGATATAAAATCTTCTGAAACTGAGAATTTGCATTCTCTTTCAGTCGTGGCCGAGCGGTTAAGACATCTGATTGTAAATCAGATTCTCTCTGGGAGCGTGGGTTCGTTTCCTACCGACTGCGCCATGTTGTATCTGTTCTAATAATAATACTCAATGACTATGTAGAAGTAATGATCTTGAATGAAGAACTGATTTAAACTTATACATTCAAACATTGGTTCGCCTAGCACCCCGGCTTGATTGTCAACTGCCGGACACCAAACCCAGTTACAATGTTGCCCACTAAAAGCACCAACACCATATTACAGAATAGTTATTTGTTTTACTAGGCAGGAAAGTACAAGATTCAATGCCGCGGCTGGCGTCCGAATAATCCATTAATTTGTGTTCACCCAAAGTCATTGTCAATTTTGATTACCAATTTGATCCAAATTACTTGGAACGTTGCATACCAATAAACTTTTTCTGCCTAGGCAGTAGAAGTACAAATTTACTGCCTGTGGAGTGTTATTAAGAAGCCACTTATTTTAATATCATTCAGAGACAAAAAATGTAGGTAAATAAATACAAAAAGATCAAAGTCATTTCCACACAATTTCAAAAAATCAACAACAATGGTAGATTTCGGGAGAAAAACAACTACTTTCCTGGCTAATGCCACGCAGGACATTGATTTACATCCTCCCAAAATCTATGCATCCATGCGCCATGAGCTTCAAGTTTCCAAAAATCATTCGTATCATTGATGTAGGATACACATCTCTCAAAAACAGGTAATATGACTCCATTTGAATGCACTCATTTCAGGTATCAAACCCTCCTCAGTCCTCAGTAACCTGAAGTCATATATAACCAGTTTGTAAGAGAAGTGTATCCTACGAGGTATCCTACAAACATTTTTTTTATATTATGTTAAACTTATCCGATATGGCCACTCAGAAGTTATATTGAGGGGGGTACACCATCGGGTAAAAATAATGCAATGTACATTCTTGATTTTTTCGATTTTTAAGTGAAAAGTCAACAACAATAATAATTGTTGTAACTTAAACAGTATGTCAAGTTTCAATTCTGCCATCCTTTTTACTGATTTCATATACTTCATATACCGAAGATTCCGGCAATGGCGAAGTGAATATTGAATGTTGATATCAAGCATCTCCTACGAACAGCATTGGGATTGCACGATTGCAAACCTCGCTGCAAACTGTATACAGAGTGGGCCATTGAACACGAATAAGATTCTCTGTTAGTCGCCAGAACCGGATTATGAAAAAACACTGGAACATGTCAACTACAGAACTGCATTTTCGAGGGGAGTTCGTCCTTGGAAGTTTTCAGCAGTGCGGCGTTGCCTCTTCTAACGAAAAGTAGCAACAACTTTGTTATTTCAAATGGAACACCCTGTATTTTATTGCATTTTCAGATTCTCCCTGAAGATCTGATTTCATCAATGAATCACACTTATGGTCTAGCGGGAATGATTATAGAGATATAGGGTGTTCAAAATCAAAAGTTTTGTACTTTATAGGATATTATTCATTATTGGTAAAAACGGCTTATACATGTCGCTATCTTAACTTTTGATTTACTATCTACTGACATCTAATTGGAACAAATGCAAGGTGGTTCAAGATTCAGAATTCAGATCATCCCTACACCGACCAACAGCCATTGCGAGTTAGGTAAAAAATAAAATAGATTATTTGGACGGTGGTGATCGTATGTCGGAACGCATTTGAGACTGCAGAGGCGTGTAGTAATGGAATACTTTTGCACTTGATCCGTTATTATAATCATACTATTTGAGATAATCTACTTTTTCATTTACCCAACTTACAGTGACTGTAAATCAGAGTGTAGCAATGTCGAATGGGACAAAACCTATAATATAATTATTATTGCAGGTCTCAGAGCAGAGGTCATTTTTATCATAATGATACCTACTGCATAAACAAATTTTATGTTCAAAACAGACAACAAAGTGCGCGGTTTTGGAGAAATTCCAGTGCTTGTCAAGGACATTCAACAGCTCGGGTAAGCTAATTCGACTCAAGGCATAATTATGTGACAATGACAATCATTTTTTAATTTTGACAAAAATACGATCTCCCTATTCTACATCTATATTATCGACTATTATTGAACGTCCGGCAAACACTCTGTAAGGGTAAGGTAATAGATACCTACTTCCGAAATTCCGGTGATTCTGATGACATCGAAAGCAATCGCTCGGGTTCTGTTTTTCTTATTCTTTTCTTTTTCTATTACTCAACTTTCAGCTCCAATTCCCAATTCCGGAAACACTGTGACCACTGTGTATATCATCATATGGAACAAATTATTTACAATACACCTGCAGAAGGGTATGTCCAAAATTTGATATCTACGCGAGAATACAATATTATGTATAACCTTCGGTATAACAATAAGGAAATCTTTGATAATACAGGGTGGCGCAATGGGTATTGACGATTTTGAGAGTGTTATTGTGGTTGTACTAATGAAACAATCAAGGTCAAAATCATATATTTTTATGACACATATAATGCAGTTTTACAACAAAAATTATTTTTTGAAAATAACATCTTTCAAATGACCACCACGTTTTTCTAAACATTGTTGAAGCCGTGATTGAAAATTATCTGTAACTCGTAGTATTTCCTGGTTTATCGCTCTGATTTCTTCAGTAATGTTGTCTTCTGAAACTTGTAACGTTCGAGGCCTATTGTTGAAAAGTGCACTTTATCGCCCGCTAGTGCATAAAGAAAATTATCGATACTGAGCTGACGAACAACCTCAACAAATTCACGAACCTGTGCATTCCGAAAAAGTTACCGTATGGTGCGGTGTGGCTGCATTCGGAATACTAGGCCCGTACTTTTTCAAAGAAAATGGCCGTACAATGACCGTAACTTCTCAACGGTATTTGGAGATGCTTACAATTTTTTTACCTGCTAAATTTCAACGCCTGGAGGTAGAAAATATCGATTTATGGTTCCAGCAAGATGGAGCAACAAGCCATACTGCGCGAATTTGCATGGCTCATCTAAGAAACATGTTTCCTGGACGACTTGTATCCCGACATGGTGATTTTAATTGGTCACCAGATTTGACCAGCCATGATTTTTTCAACACAAGTTTTAAAAGACAACATTACTGAAGAAATCAGAGCGATAATCCAGGAAATGCTACGAGTTACAGATAATTTTCAATCACGGCTTCAACAATGTTTAGAAAAACGTAGTGGTCATTTAAAAGATGTTATTTTCAAAAAATAATTTTTGTTGTAAAACTGCATTATATGTGTCATAAAAATATATGATTTTGACCTTGATTGTTTCATTAGTACAACCACAATAACACTCTCAAAATCGTCAATACCCATTGCGCCACCCTGTATAATATCTTGATTCCTAAATAATCAAGTTATTAAATAAAAAAAAAATCAATGAACTCAATAACAGGTGTTTATATTGAGTTCATTGCCGACAATGAATGATTACAAAAATAAATCTAACCTTATTCAGTCCAGGATGCCGGATCCTGTCCAACCCGGAAGCGGATCCGGGGATAACATTGTCGCTGTTTCCCCACACACCAATACGATCTCTCTCCATCATTTGTTTATCGAAACTGTCAACACGGCCACCAACTGCTGCTTTCTCACTACCTGTCGCCTCCTGAGATCCGCTAGAAACAGTTGAAAAATGTATATAAACCTTTTGTTTTATTCCGTCGAGTTGAGCGTTGGCGATGCGACGGCGATTAGATAATTCGATTGCGCGCGATGGGTAGAGTCGGGCGCAGTTCTGAGCTATCGATATTTCAACTTCGATAGTAGTACACAATGGTTCCGTTAGTTAGGATCAGGGCCGGACTGGTCCGTCGGGCGATAGGGCGATCGCCCGATGGCCTGGCTCATTTTTGGCCCGCTGGCCTGGGCCTGACTGTTGGAGCATTATTTTATACTCGATATTTTGTAGAAATTTTAAATTTCATACAAACGCATGTTTATTCTACCCTGATCTAGAAAAGGTATAAATAAGATATTCATTGACGTGTCAATTTCACAAGTTGCATGTAACTATGTAAGAAGTACTTTTCTATATCAAAATCAATTTTAAATTGTATGAAACTGTCTGCTTCAAGATCACGTGGAGGCTTTCATATTGATATCTTCTGAAATAGTTATTTATGTGTCAAGGGCGTAATGTAGGCATCAGCTGAGGCCACTACACGCCAAAAAATTGCAAAACAGCAGCGTGAAATGTATTTTTTCATTGTGACAATTTTATTTATGTACTTAAATAACATCCCGTGAGCCACTGTGATTTTGTCATTATGACAGCGAAAAAATGTTACCTCAACTTTTCCAGCAACAGAACGGAATTTTAACATTTGAATGCATGACAATCGAACCTGTAAACAAATCTTTGATGGTTTTTATGTCATTTTTTCATAAACTTGCTTTGTCATGGAAGTATCTAATCTGTGAAAATGTCGCGATTCGGAGAGTTCTTCGAGTGAAGAAATTTGAGGAACCATTAACAATAATGTAATTCACGTATTCATTTAATTGTCTTACCGAATAGCACTCAAGCATTTTTTTAGGTCGAAGTAAACTTGACGTTAAAATTCTATTTTTGTTGCTGTTAGGAAATTTAAATTTTCAGGTGAATTTGAAATCATTTTTATCCACCTTTATGATACCCTTTTGGCAAACCTATATAACTATCAATTTGAAGGCATTTGGCCTTGAACAACAAAATATTTCGCCTGCGGCGCTTTTTTGCTTTCTGTCGCCCCCGTAGAATGAATAACCCCCTCCTCCTCCTATGTAACAAAGCTGATGTATACGCGCCTGTTTCAGGCTCATTAGTTTTTTTATATTTTGTTTATTGTTCTTGGTTTCGAAGAAGTGTATTTATTCTGTTTCATCTATCATTCAACTACTCGACGAAGTCTCGATACTTTTGGTGGTGAATATTCTAACATCGCATATATTGAGCAGTCGACCTTGAAATTTGAGGAAAAGAAAACGCCTGCAACGCACACTTTTTGACAGGCAGACAGAAATTGGCCTGCTTTGGGAAATACGCCCGGCCCGTTTCGTACTTTCAGTCCGGGCCTGGTTAGGATCGCGTTGCGTGACTTAACCTATCTAGACAAATGTTCATCCATTTACGAGATCCCATGAATTATGCGAATTCAGGACCTGTCACTCAACCTGTCACTCACTTATGTTTCGGAACACCAAGTGACAGATAAGTCGATCCAATACATCATGAATGACAGTTCGGATCTTTCGAAGCGTTTGCAGGCGAGCAATTTGGATAAGATTCTCGGGATGTTGGGATACGAAATATAGCGGTATTATCGGTCTTATGTCGGTAATGTACTCATGACGTACAGGGTGATTCAAAATTCGATTCAAGGGCATATTGTTGGGATCAAAATAAGACTTTTTCTTTATATTGATATGTGTCCTAAAATGATGCACCTCTTCCGAGCCACTGTAAGATAAAATAACAAGATTATCTGAATTTGTAGCTGAAATAAAGCATCAAATCTGCTGAAAATTGGCTTGACCCATCTTTTTGAACACTTTATTTCCTTCTTGCTTCAAAAATGATGTGAACTCAATTTTAGGAGAGTTGGGGGGGGGTCCACACTTTTATTGGCCCAAATTTTAAGTTTAGAAAGAGAAACATTGGATAGTATGATCTTCTCCAGACGACGATGAGGCTCAACAATGAGTAACCAATCATGGTTTGACTTTCCATGTTTGGGGGTCGGGACCTCTTTAAAAAACCTTTCTTATCAATAATACTTTGAACGTAACACGTAACATACCCTTCTCATTTCCATGACTTTTAAGCATATAGGCTGAAGATGGACATTGCATATGCCCGAAACATGTTCCTAATTTGATTGAATATGAACCCTATCACTCCACTTTGAGCTTTGAGGACTTCTACCTACGTTTAAGTATCTCTGCAGTCAAATACACACAAAGGAAGCATCTGGTGTGATTGTTTTTGTTAATAATGTACTTTCGGTTTAACCGGAAATACACTCAACTTTTGTGATTTGAATGGGACACCCTGTATATTTTTGCAAATTTTGATATTGATATATCGAATTAGTTCATAAAGGGTTTAGTTGGAATCAGAGATCAGGGTGACTGATCTCTGGTTGGAATACTACACGGTGATCAACGTATAGGCCACACAATAGAAGTTTTCAACTAGCAGTGGGATTTCGAAATTTTGAAAATTGGTACGCTATCATAATTGATCATTTCCAATCGACCTGAAATATTTCTAGTCCTCCAGCTATACAAGGTGTGCCAAAAGTCGACACCAACTCTCTTATTTTAAATAGAAACCTACTATTTTTCACATGGTTCGATTAGGCCTTCTCATTCTGAGTCGAGATAACCAAACTTATGTCTATTTATCCCTTACATTTTTCGAGATATCTCGATTTTTCTGAAAATTATAATCGCGTCGTACTAGTTATTCTATTCTCGTAAAGCGTTCAAAATTAGAGCACCAACTTTGTGGAACATTTAGCTGGGAGTCCAGGTCCAGGCCATTTGAATTGCCGAATTTTCAACAATTTCAAATGGCACCTACTATTTTTTGATACCATATGGAAAAAATTGAATTTGATGATGAGTTATTAAATCATTTAGCATTTCCCTATACCTTTCTCAAACCTCCATCAATTATTCAATGAAAATAATAAAAGTACAAGCGTACTCATTCAGTGTAGGCCGACGGATTATTTGTGAAATCAACGATACATTTTTCTTCGTGTAGACGTTAAGGTAACGAATTTTAAGCCATCGTACATGTTTCTACGAAGGCAATCATTTGCAGAAAAAAAAACGACATATTTGATATTTATCGCGAATACTGTCATAGATAAATTGACATAAATCAAGTTGAAAGATAGATCGAACCATGTGAAGAAATAAAATGATGGTGCCAACTTTTGGCACACCCTGTATAGCTTGAAGACAAAAAATATATCAGCTGGATTTACGATAGTCGATTATAAACTTTTTAATAAAAGTGCAAGTTTCAAAATTTTCTAGATTCTGTGTCATAAGTAAATTACCATCTATATTATTCCCTTAAAACCCAGTCTGTACGAATTCTAAATATCAAATTCTATCAAAATATGCCAAAAAATACAGGATATCAGATATCAATTGAAAAAGTTGACGTTATTTTCTGTTGTACCGGAAGTGTCATTGTATTTAACTGCAAAGTTTCATTGAACTCGTATCTTTTGTTGCATATACCGGGTGGCTACGGAAGTATTGCCTACGGAATATCTCAGTTATTGTATGAGGTAGGTTTGTGAAATTTGGAGTGTCGATATAATGACATAAGAGCTAGAATTTGAGCATATTGACATGTTGAAGTTAACTTCCGGTCTGACCGGAAGTAACATCAACTTTCTTATTTTAAATGGAAACCCTATTTTTTTTTTCTTTTCGCTTTATTCAGCATTCAATTCCCTTTCTGATGACATATCACAAGTTGGTATCTGACCAGAAACTAGATCAGAAAAAAAATATTATTGAAATTCACCGAGTAGGCCGTGGACGCAAAATGAAAGCCAAAAATTGAAAAGTTGGCTATGGAAACCATACGTCACTTGATAACAGTTGCTACTACTGTGATATTTTATTTTCATTCGTCGGCGTTATAAAAAGCCGCCAAAAAAAATATTGGAAAAATTGGGAAAAAAACAATACTCTGTAGGTCCATAACTTAAATAGGAACATACAACTTTTTCTTGCCTGTACTACTCAACATAACCATTCCTTTCTAATGATATAATAGAAAGTCATTTTTTTGGTTTCATTTTGCTTCCACGGCCTACTCGGTGAATTTCAATAATAATTTTTTTCTGATCTAGTTTCTGGTTAGATACCAACTTGTGATATATCATTGGAAAGGGAATTGAATGCTGAATAAAGCGAAAAGAAGAAAAAATAGGGTTTCTATTTAAAATAAGAATGTTGATGTTACTTCCGGTCAGACCGGAAGTTAACTTCGACATGTCAATATGCTCAAATTCTAGCTCTTATGGCATTATATCGACGCTTCAAATTTCATGAACCTACTTCATACAATAACTGAGATATTCCGTAGGCAATACTTTTGTAGCCACCCGGTATATTTATTTGATTCAACTTTTCAATAAAGCTGCAAGTTGCAAATTTTCTAGATTGTGTGTCATACGTAAATCACCCTCCATATTATTTCCCATTAAACCCACTCTGTACGAATTTGACAAAAAATATAGGGTGTCAGAATTCAATTGAAAAAGTTGACTATATTTCCTATTGAACTGGAAGTGTCAATGTATTTCTGGTCAAAAAATTAACCATTGAAAGACCGAATTTGAATGCATTATATTAAATTTTCCTTGAAATATTGCGAAAAACCTATTTGAATATCTTAACTTCAACGCCCTGTATCTCGAGAACTGAACACTTGAAGAACGTATGTCCCTATCTCAGTGATTATGAAATCACGAGGGCTATCACCTGTCAAGTGTTGTCGGTCGAACTTCGCAACACCCTGTATTTCCGATCGGCGCGCCCATCTCTAGCGATGACTACTTCAATATGCTGCCATGTGACGATGAGATTTGATGAAATGGCGCAT